ACGACATCAAAGATCAATTCTACGAGCGGCTGCGGTCAATCATAGAGAAGTGCCCAAGAAAGGACCTCATCATTCTGATAGATGATATACATGCCAAAGTTGGAATAGACGACACCGGACATGAAAATATCATGGGACGTCATGGACTGGGTGAGAGAAACGAAAATGGAGAAAGATTTGCAAATCTATGTGCATTCAACAAATTGGTCATAGGAGGCACAATATTTCCTCACAAGCGTATACACAAGGCTACATGGATCTCACCGGACCACACTACAGAGAACCAGATGGATCTTATCTGCATCAATAAAAAATTCCGAAGGACAATGGAGGATGTGAGAACCAGGAGAGGAGCTGACATAGCTTCAGATCACCACCTAGTTGTGGCCAATTTAAAACTGAAGCTAAAGAAAAACTAGACAAACAGCACTACAAAGGTTTAATACGACCTTTCTTCGAGATACTAACAAAATCAACGAATTCAAGATAGCTCTCAACAACAGGTTCCAAACCTTACAGGATCTACTGAAGGAAGAAGAAACTACTATGGAAGACAGTTGGAAAAGTATCAATGAAGCATTAACTTCAACATGTCAAGAGATTCTGGGTCTAAAGAAGCACCATCATAAGGAGTAGATCTCTATAGAAACACTGGACGTGATCAAAGAAAGGAAGAACAAGAAGGCAGCAATTAACAACAGCCAAACACGAACAGAGAAATTCCGAGCACAAGCTAAATAAATAGAAGCAAACAAGGAAATGAAGCATTAAAGCTGACAAGAAATAGGTGGAAGAACTAGCAACGACGACGGAAAATGCTGCAAGTGTAGGAAATATGAAACAACTATGTGATACAACGAAGAAACTAGCAGGGAAATATAGTAAATCAGAGAGACCGGTTAATGACAAAGAAGGCAGAACAATCACTGAAATTCAAGAACAGAGGAACAGATGGGTAGAGTACTTCAAATAACTCCTGAATGGGCCGGCTGCAATGAATCCACCGGACATCGTAGCAGCGCACACAGATCTTCCTATATATGTCAATCCATCAACGACGGAAGAAATCAGAATGGCCATCAGACAAATCAAGAACGGGAAAGCAACAGGACCCTACAATATACCATTTGAACCACTAAAGTCAGACATCGAAGTAACTACAAACATGCTTCACCTTCTATTCAAAAAGATTTGGGAGGAGGAACATGTGCCGATGAACTAGAAAGAAGGACACCTCATCAAGATTCCAAAGAAAGGAAACCTGAGCAAATGTGAAAACTACAGAGGCATCACACTACCGTCAGTACCAGGAAAAGTCTTTAACAGAGTTTTGCTGAATCGGATGGAAGATGCAGTAGACGCCCAATTTCGAGATCAACAAGCTGGGTTCCGTAAGGATTGGTTGTGTACAGACCAAATTGCGACACTACGGATCATCGTCGAACAATCAGTTGAGTGGAACTCGTCACTATTCATCAACTTCATTGATTATGAAAAGGCATTTGGCATTGTGGGTAGGAGGACGTTATGGAAACTTCTACGACACTACGGAGTTCCTGAGAAGATTGTCAATATTATCTGGAACTCATACGACGGACTACAATGCAAAGTCGTGCATGGAAGACAGCTGACAGATGCATTCCAAGTAAGGACGGAAGTCAGACAAGGCTGTTTACTCGATCCCTTCCTTTTCCTTCTGGTGGTCGACTGGATTATGAAGACCTCGACATCGGAAGGAAAACACGGAATACAATGGACAGCTCGAAATCAATTAGACGATTTAGACTTCGCGGATGACCTAGCTCTCCTATCACATACACACGAAGAGATGCAGACAAAGACAGCCAGTGTGGCAGCAGTCTCTGCATCAGTAGGCCTCAGCATACACAAAGGGAAAACCAAGGTCCTCAAATTCAAGACGGAGGACAGCAATCCAATCACTCTTGATGGCGAAACTCTGGAAGATGTAGAATCTTCCACATACCTGGAAAGTATAATCGATGAACAAGGAGGTTCAGATGCAGACGTAAAGGCGATGATTGGCAAAGCAAGGACAGCATTCATACAGTTGAAGAACATATGGAACTCAAAACAACTTTCAACCAATATCAAAGTGAAAATCTTCAATACGAATATCAAGGCAGTTCTACTGTACGGAGCTGAAACTTGGAGAACTACAACAACCATCATCAAGAAGGTGCAAGTATTTATAAATAGCTGTCTACGCAAGATACTAAACATCCATTGGCCGGATATAATTAGCAACAGCCTTTTGTGGGAGAGAATAAACCAGCTTCCAGCTGAAGAGGAAATTAGGAAAAGACGATGGAAATGGATAGGACATACACTACGCAAATCGTCAAACTGCATCACGAGACAAGCCCTAACTCGGAGTCCTGAAGGAAGGCGGAAAAGAGGAAGGCCAAAGAACATGTAGTGACATTGGATTATAACCATACAATCCTCAAAGCTGAATACACGATTACTCGGATTATAGATATTCAATATTTAACGCGGCGAAATAACCTAACGATGAAGAAGGCGGGAAGAAGGTATTGAATGAATTGGAGTTGATCAAACTGCATGGCCCGGCATGCAGGAGTGGTCCCTGCTGAATGTTACCTTATATATTCTGTTCATATTAAATATATTGTTCTTTCTCTAGCCTAACGTTGTTCTACATCATGTATTGGAAATTGGTACGATACAGTGAGTTGGTGTAGTCGATGGTGTGACTTCCACGTAAGATTTTATAGATTAGGCAGTTATATCATGACAAATCTACAAATTTAGGATTAGGTCTATTATTAGAGCAGTACTTATGTTATAGTAGACCATAATTCTACAAACACATTACGTCAGGATATAAAAGCATATATTGAAAGGATGAATAAGAACTGGAAGGAGCTGGAAAGGGTTGCTCAGGACATGGTTGGATGGCGAATGCTGGTGAGCGGTCTATGTTCCTTCACGAGGAGTAACAGGCGTAAGTAAGTAAGCAAAAGCCTTGGATCGCAAAAAACAGTACACTAAAAACTGGTAAAAATGGATATTAACAGATGATGAAAACGGTTAGGATAAATTGAAACTAACCTTGACGTGGAAGCCCAAAAAACCAAGTAGTAAACCGGGGCAAAACCACAGTTAACTATGAAATTGGGTAAAACTAAAAAAGAAAATTAATCTATTGAACGTATAGCTTAAAACAGATTCTTTCAATCAGAAGTGGAACTTTTGTTGCGTAAGAACACGACAAAAGTTTGAGAAATGGACTAAACGTCTCGTTCATAAAGCGCACGCTTTATTAGTGTGCTAATAGTTACCTTGTCGAAGTATATACGAACTAAATATTCAGCATGCATCCTTTTCGTGACAACACTGGCTAAACCTGGAAGCTGTACTAATGGCTACTCTAAACGATTGAATGAAAAAACTTCTGACCGATAGCTTCTGCATGCAGTTGCACATCGCCAACTTAGACGATCCTTAGTATCGGTTATTACGTTAGGCCCATATACCTTATTCTAGCTTTCGGACAGGCCAATCTATTCATTCCACTTGAGTCACATTTTGACCTTGTTAATTATTCACTCATCAGTCGTGAATGTTTTTATATGAGCGCATATGTGTGTGTACATTTCTTATCCTATTCATCATATGTCTGTAACTTATTTTTGTGTGACTATATATATTGACTAGCGCCTGACTAAATGGAGTTGGCTCACATGCATTCTCCACTGCGCGTCTTTTTGCTTTGTTCTATTTCACTCGCTTCATTTACAAAATGTATGTATTTAAAAGTCCATTTTCGTTATTTGAATTATTAAATTCCCTTATTGACTAACGCGATTTGATTCGATGAAATATACAAGAAGAGGCGACATATATATTTCAATAACAATCAGTCATACGATCCATTTGGAGTCAGACCTTGGGCCATTAAAGTGGAGAGCCCATCGACAACATTGTCCGATCTAAATGACGACAAAATAAGGAGCCCAACTAAAGACCTGTGTCTAAAGATTTGGAGGGCTCCTCAAGTTAGACGGCAATGGTGTGACCAACCAGCCAACGTCAAAGTCACATCTCATGGTTAGTACCTAACATAGATTGCCTTTTGACAATATAACTACTTTTATGACCATACAACACAAACGACGTTATTAAAGAAGTATATTTGTAAGAGTAGGTACGAGAACAGAGTGAGACCTTTATATCACGGGCCGGTCTATGACGTTGACTCTGACGAGGGTTGGTGAACTATTCGGTATTCAGTTATCTGGCTGTCAGATGATCCGCCTAATGTCCCGTAAAATTATATTTATCCTACAGAGTACCATAAAACAAGACTCAGGATTACAAAGAATTAATGTACAGGACTCGCTTGCCACTACCTGGGAAGTATTCTAGTCCTGTAAATGACGTACCTTTAGACAGATGATTTTTCACGAGAGATCAGAGCTTATGTGAACGGACTGAAATTGCAGACTGGCAGACAACAACAACGACTTACCTGCTTACTGTCAATCCCTAATGATTGTTTGAACATTTTGTTGCAGTTTATATTGTCCACAAGACCCTAAAACATCCTTGTAGTCTCAGAAGAAAGTTTGTGAATAAGAGAAATGAACTACACTCGATCTCATTTATACAACGATCCCTTCGAAGGTAGGCTGAAGTCTGCTTTAGATTCAGTAGTTCCAATGGGTATATCATGGGTAGTACAAGTCTGTCAATCAATATTTCGTTTTCCGAATACTTAAGAACCACTAGGAATAAGAAATGTTCCATTTTACACAGAAGGACCTACAATATTTGTAAGTTTTCGAATTATCATATGAACTAGGAATCCCAGAATTAACGCAGTTGAATCAAGAAATACGACACAAGCACTAATGAATGCATTGTATTTAGAATTCGAAATCGAGCATTCAACAAGTACAAAAGAATAAATAATTAATTCAAACACCACAGAACCACACATAAAAAGTAGTCAAAGATGTCAGTGGACAATTATTTTGCCATCACCGTGAAATTCGGTTTGGATCTAGTACAATAATAATTGGCGGGAAAACGAACTGTGGGGGACGTGATGCTTTTAACGTCGACGCGACGTTTCGCCCTGAACAGATTTGATAGATGGACTTATTTCAAGCAGTACAGTGCATATTACTCCCTAGGCTCAAATGATTCATCGGAAGATAAGTCTCAACAGTCTTGGTGGAGTGGGAAAAATGCATGGAAAATAGGTTGTTTTACTTTGGGATGTTCCAGTTTGTTTGCGGTTGGGTTTGCCGTGGCTACTTGGGGTAAGATAAGTAGTGCGTTATTCAGGCTTAATAGGTCCCCCGAAAAAGGATGATAACGGAGTTGAAGTAAGTGGGTAATTCCTAAACATTCCGATTAGATTGAAGACAATTTTAGTCGAAGTAAGCGACAAATACGTACTTAATAGTTCGCAGAACCAATTATCTGGGGGTACCTTTGTCGAACGTTCAGTTCTCTGCTTGAATTTAACCAAGTAAGTATTCGGAACACACACAGAGTGTCTGTAGAGCATAAAGGATCCTGTTAGTGAAAAACTCCTTCCAGATCCAGTACAACCTCCATATTACCAACCACCATATACTCTTGTTCTGGAGATGACCGACGTGCTTGTTCACCCTGATTGGAAGGTAGTGTTTTATCTATAAATTTGTTTAAAAATGACAGTTTCGCTCAGGTTGGCGCTTTAAGAAAAGGGCAGCGTTAGATTTGTTTTTGCAACAGCTATCTCCTCACTATGAGGTTGTTGTCTATACAAACGAATCAGTAATGGTAAGTTTGAACATTTTTGGAAATTTTAGTTTGAGGAAATAGGTACACCTTTTGCATTGTTGGTATCAGTAACTTGCAATATGTATCAGTAAATGTATATCGTTAGCGTATGTTCTTTCCAATTTGCGTTCAGTCTTTAACGACACCGAAAATCGCGAGTAAATCTAGTCCTATCATGCTAAATGAGACTTGTACAAAAGTGAATCTTCTGACGGGATGAATAAAATTACTAAAGAACCAACATATCTGTGGTAGTTTCTGTTAAAAACGAGCATGGTAATTTAGATGAATATTTTCCAGATGGGAATGTAAGAGTTGACAAAACCTTAGAAGTGGTTAGGTACCTATTAGTGTGTAGCAGCCTAATCTTTAGCTCTTATCAGATTAGCTATAGCTAATCTGAAAGGAGGAACAGCAGCTGGTCCAGATGGATTGACTCCAGATGTCTTTAAAGATGGTGGTCCAGTTTTAGCGATTAAGTTGACTAATATTTTAGCTAAGATCTGGGAGTTCAACGTTAGTGAGTGCTAGTCTATACCCATCATTCCCAAACAGCTTAAATGGAACATTGAAGTACGTCACCCAAAGCTCTCTGAAGCCCAGAAAACTATAGCTAATCTAAAACAAGGAAGATCAGCTGATCTAGATGTCTTTAAAGATTTTGGTCCAGTTTTAGCGATTAAGTTGACTAATATTTTAGCTAAGATCTGGGAGTTGGACGTGATCTCATCTGACTGGTCACAATATATTAGAAAGGGTCGAAATCGTCCTGTGATAACCATAGAGGGATTAGTTCGACTAATATAGCATCTAAAATACTAGCCTAAATAACCATCGGTCGCCTGATAAAGACTCGTGAACTGCAAACACGAGAAAATCAAGCTGGCTTCAGACCTGTTCGTGGCTGAATAGACAACATATTCACTGTTCGTCAGGTTCTAGAACACAGGAATGGTGGTCTTTCTTGACTTAAAAGCATCATTTGAATCCGTAGACCGCGAGATCCTGTGGCAGTGTCTGTCATTGAAAGGCGTATCTCAGAAGTACATAAACCTTGTAAAGTCTCTTTACTCGAACACCACTAGTCGAATCAGAGCTTATGGCGAACTGTCATCTAATTTTGCAACCTCAAGTGATATCCATCAAGGTTGTCCACTTTCTCAATTTTTGTTTAACTTCATCATAGACCTGCTGATGGAAATAACGCTCTCATCGATAGGATTTTCTGGCATTGATCTCCCACCAGGAGGTCTACTTATCGACTTAGAATACGCAGATGATATAGTCCTGTTTGGTGAAGACACTGATAAAATGCAGTCTTTTGATAACACTGAGCAACAATGCCAGGGTGTTTGGAATGCGTTTCTCACCCTCTAAATGCAAGTTGTTGCTTCAGGACTGGCCTGCATCAACACCTGAACTAAGGATAGGGAGTGAAGTAGTCGAAAATTTCGATCACAATGGCGTCGGTGTATACACTCCTTATCTTCCCTTAAGCTATTTGATTAAAATCGTTTCATGTCTTTCTTTCATCCTGTACTATGTCCTTGTATGCAAATTTTCTTTATATATTACCACCACTGAATTAACTACTTCTGGGAATCCGTGTTTATCTTGTGCTAATGAGGTATGGTAACTTGGACCGATGCAGAAATGTGCCTGGTCGTACATTTTAGCTGACTGACTTATCAAGTCTGAAAGGCAAAGCGATGTGTACTTGTATTTGGCATGTTTCGCACTCAAGGATTTTGCGTTAAATGTAAATGGCGTCCGATTAAATAAATATTTCCGATAAAGGGGTGTAAGTTGTAATCTCTTCACCATAACGGCAAAATAAATTAGTGCTTGGATTTTGTGAAGCTCTGCATTGCGGTTCTCTCAGGATTTTTCAGTCTTCATCTATTGTATTCAAACTAGTACAACCAACGTGGGACCAACTACAGTTCATAAGTCCTGATTTATTCCTACAGTGTTCATATAGCTTAATCTATCTCGAATGCTAGTCGTGAAGTATTTTGATAGACTTTGGAAATTAGACTTCACTCATTTAGATCAGTAAATGTAGTCTCCGAATCTTACGTCATTTTCATCTTATAGGTGTCATTACCGAGGTTTGACTTGCTAATTTCGAATAAATAGAGCATTGAGTAGATTGTTAATATTAAAAATAATATGTTTGTAATATTCCAGTGAGTAGAAATAATAAATTTTTAGATTTTCTAATGTTTCGTTACTCAGTGTAGGCCACTTCAGAGAATAAATAAATAAGTTTAATTGATCCAAATTTAAATAGAAGGCAAGAACACTTGGTATTATCATTATTATTATTACCATCTATTTATTTTTTAAACACAAACACTGGTACAAGGAGGCACCAAATATATACCCGCCACATAGATCATTCTATTTTTGTATGGTCTGGAATACTTCTCGGGTGCCCAAACCGGAGCAAGTGGTTTTCTCAGGTGCCGAACCTTTGACCTGAAGGTCTAATCCACAAGACAGTAGAGCAACGTTAGGAGATGCAGTCCCATGTTAGCCGATGACCATGCAAAGGCATTTTGAGAGGGAGTGCTGACTCTCCACACTCGGCATTTGGGGGCAAGAATATTTGGTGCGATCAATTAAAACAAGTCTGATCAAGTCAATGTCATGTCATTCCGGTCAGGGTGATCTATGTGCTGCATGTTTGTTTATTTATGTTCGAGAGTGAAAAAACTGCAAAATTTGTGGTATGAAAGGATACGGTTGAATTTGTGTATACGATAGGGGTGTAAGATGTGAATAGAATCAGACATGATAGCTCGGATGGATGGTCCAAGTCGGATAGATAGTGAGGCCTTTTTTCTATTGAGGAAAATATGATTACGTAATAAACGTAAAGCTTCAGCTGCTCGCTTTTCTTTGTAGTTGGAAAAGCCTTTTTTGTATTATTTTGGTGTTTTTAATAGTGACTTGATGGTTATTGAAAATTGCGTGAACTGCTACTATCGATCTAATTATGTGTCTTCAATTCTGTGGGATTATTTGGAGGTTCCCTTGTGCATTTAAGATGTTTTTTGGCTCTAGTCAAGATTTCACGAGATGACTCTACAGTGTTAAAGGTGTCACAATCGACACATCCTAATTTGTAGATATAATTCTGTGTTGACATAAAGGGGATTTTTTACTTTATGCGAATTGAACTATTTCGAAGGGTGTTCGTTGTTTTGTGATATACTTTAATCCTGTATTGTTTTAAAACTCTTTGGAGTTCTGTTATTGTACATACAAATTCAACTCTATCCTTTCGTACCGCAAATTTCGCACTTTTTCATCCTTTAACATACATAAACAAACATGCAGCACATAAACCACATTGACCGTAATGACATTGACTTGATCAGACCTGTTTTTGATTGATCGCACCAAATATTCTTGCTTTGTTCTATTTAAACTTGGGTTGATTTAACTTGTTTATTTATTCTCTGAAGAAGTGGCATATACTGAGTCACAAAACAGAAAATTTAAAAAATTATACTCATTGGAATATTACAAATGTATTATTTTCTATTAGTCATTTGCTTTTGTTTTTAACTGCTTACTGCGTGGATACGCGCTGAAAAAATCTTTTCAGTATTATTTATAAGTAATTTCACTGTTTCGAAGATTGGAGGTCCTGTCTTGGCTCAGATGGATCCTCAAGGACAGTTTATTCATTTTCGACTGTTTCGCGAAGCAACCCGCTATAAAGGAGGAAAACACATCAAGGATCTGTCATGTCTTAATAGAGATCTCTCTCGTGTGGTGTTCGTTGACTGGGATCCTGCTGCAGCTCAGTTGCAACCACGCAATTCACTGATTATAAAACGTTGGGATGGCGATGAGTCAGACAGAGAATTGATAGACTTAGCTGCCTTCCTAAGAAGTAAGTACAGCCCTTAGCGAAATAGAGATTTGAAACATCAGTAACTTTGTGATATTATGAGGAAGCATTGACCTTGATAGTCAGGCCTTGATTCCGTTTATAAGTAAGTAACTAATAAAACTTACATTCCCCAGTTTCTTATGTTTTAGATACTTACTTACGTCTGTTACCTTTCTTGGGGCACACGTCTTCCAATCAGGGATTTTCAACCAACTACGTCCTGGGCTCTCCTTTCCAGTTGCCAAGTGCTATTCTTTTAATATCTGCATCCGGCGTAGTGTGTGCTTTGGATTATATTTCTTATGTTTTCTCCGAGGATTCCAAGTTAGGTCTAGCTTTGTGATGCAGTTTGATTATTTCCGTAAGATGCGACCTGGTCACCTTCAGCACCTTTTTCTAATTTCCACCTCAGCTGGAAGCTGGCTTGTTGCTAATAGTATCTGGTCTATGAATCTGGAGTATCTGGTGTCGACATCTGTTCTTAACTACCTGTACCTTTTTATGATGATTGCAGTTCTCCAAGTTTCAGCTCCCCACAATAGAACTGTCTTAGTGTTAGTATTGAAAATTCACATTGGTTTTGGTTAAGCCGTCTTGAGTCCCATATGTTTTTCAGTTGTAGGAATGGTGCCCTTGCTTTGCCAATCCATGCCTTCACATCTGCATTAGATCCCCCTTGTTTTTCAATGGTACTACCCAGGTATGTTGGATGGTTGTAGTAAGGTTGTAATAGACACTTTTAATGCTGCCTTTCCAGTTGTCCAGGGCCTCTTTAGCTTCGGTTTCAACTTAGTAACCACCAAGTGATGATCTGAACCAATATCAGCTCACTTTGTTCTTAAGTCCTTCATGGACCTTCTAGAGTTTTTATTAATTCAGGTATGATTGATTTGTGGTGTTATCAGTTGAAACCCATGTAGCTGGTGGAGACTATAATTTATGGACAAACTAAACAGATTTAGGATAACCGGTCTTGGTTTTTGGCGCGAAATTTATTCACCCATTTATCTAAATTGCGTTTCGGCTTTTAAGCTGATTTCAGTTCGTGATGAAAACCATAACTCTAATTCCTAAGCTTAACGATCAATTGTAAATCATGGTCCTTATTCTTCAAACTGCTTTATAACCCTCATTTAGCACTAGTAAATTGGTGGACGTTTCCGAAGGTCGTCCATAAATTATAGTCTCACCAGAAAATGGTTCCACTTATAACGATGTTAATGGAAGTACATAGATTGGCTAGTTTCTCACTATTCTCATTTCTTTCTGCTAGTCCATATCGCCCTATAGTACTTTCATGTCCCGTGTTGTCCATATAGACCTTAGCGTTCGGCCACCATTAAGATGGTCAGTTCTTTTCCTGCGCAGTTCTTTACGATGGACTCTAACCACACAAAACCGTATTTTGCCTATAAGTGTGTTGTTTTACTGAGAAAAATCCTATCCAGCTGACTAGTCGTGTCTCTAGTGTAAATTCATCATACGTTTGTTCCATCGAGTCGACGGCATTGTATTGTTTCTTTTCATCTGTTAATCAAGGTTAAATTCACTCGTTTTAGCAACCCCAAAATATACATAATCATGACGCATCTAGAACTATGCTCCATATTTGTTTTACTTCCGTACAGAATAGGATGTTGGTATCTATTTTTAGTAGCATGTGTCCTATTTCAATTTCGCCCATTGGTTTTTCGTGTACAAAACCATCGGTATCGGAAGGTTAGGAATGGGACTTCCTTAATTTCCAGGTTGAAGTTACAAAACAAACTCATGATGACTAGCTAACCGCTATCAATTAATCGTAGTCAGTAACTATTTAAATGTCTCGTTCTGAAACTTGATGAAATTTACCACTCTTTTCAGCTCTAGTTTACCGGTTGTTACATTTTCAAATGCTCGTCAACTAGCCTTATCATATATTCCTCTGTTTTTAATTATTCATAATTTTCCAGTGATTGCAATGGGGAGTGTAGATGATGTTCGCCTTGTGCTAGATTACTACAGAGAGTTTGATGATCCTCTAGCCTTCTTCCGTGAAAAGCATGAAGAACTTATGGTGAGTCAATGTTGAACTTAAATTTATTTGTTTAAAACCATGGATACTTTTGTAGTGTTAACAGGCAAACTACAGCCAAAAAATAATTTACGAAGTATTTATTTCAAACGAAACCAGGTTTTTCAGCTATAATATTGGACTATCCACATGGCGTTGTATATCCGACATTTCGCATTCAGACCGACATTGCGAAGGCAGCAAAAGTGATTAAGGGTGGTATATATCACACAGCCCTGTTCGATAATAGATCTCTTTTATTACACCACCATCAACGTAGATTTTCGATCATCTTGACTGTTTCTAATGGCTGATCACTCATAGTTAAAGATACAGATGATAAATAGCTTGTTGGTGGCTACTTTATTGGAGGTTGGTTCTTCTTAGAAATAGGTTGTGGTCTGCCCAAGACTGTAAAAGATGATCACCTCATTTTTAATATGTAGGTGCCATCCATGTAACCCTCTTATGTGACTATGCTTTCGACCTAAGGACTCAACTCCATAGTTATCTTCAAAACACCAGCAGCAGCAACACAACGGCAAGACAAGCAAAATTATTCGATGCGTCCCAGCTCTGCTAACCAAAGGGAGAAGATCAGGTTCAGATGAGGGAAAGGTGTATTCCACAAACAACCAGAAGCACGAACGAACCAAGCACACAACTCAAGTATATATATATATATATATATATATATATATATATATATATATATATATATATATATATATGATAAAAAAGTTAGGAAATGTCACAAAATAGCGTATTATAAAAGGCAACAAACCAATGACATTTAGGGTCCTTCCAAATGGGAAGTAGAATTTGAGGGTAAAAATGAGCGTTCTTGATGCGAAAACGAGAAATTCAAATTCCAAAACAAAATTACAACAATAAGACGCTTACTAAGCGATTTCTGGGGATCTAGCATCCCCGATACTATCTTAGTTTAGCGAACTGTCCATCACACCTATTCTGTAGTTAGCGAGAGGACCATTAGAGATTATTTATTTCAACACGAACACTGGCACAAAAGAGCACCAAAATATACATGCGCCACACAAAAATGAGATTGATAAAAAGTATGATAAAAAGAGAACGAAAACAAATAGAAATTAGTCTGTGGAAGTGGACAGAAAATGGTAATAGTGATTAGAGAAGCAGTTCAGTTAAGAAAAATACAACCGGAAAGGATTCTTTCAGTTAAATAAGTTATTCTCTTATATGAAGAAAGTAAAAGAAAGTTATAACAGGACCGTCATCGGCTTTTCTTCTGACCCATGTCTGATTGCCCATGCGTCTTAACACAGTGACTTGAGATCGTTTATATAGGACAGAATTTCCACCATGGGCGAGCTTTTGTGAGTTGAAAAATAAAGGATTACACAGTAAGCAAATAAAAGGGAATAGACAAATGATGGAATATAAAATAAGAGTGGATGTTACCGAATAGTTATAAGTATAATTTATGGGAATAAAGATTGAGGCGATCATGAAAAAAAACCCACCTTTTCACTTATATTTGTTGCTCTGTGGTTTCGTAAATATTGACCAATTAGACCTTCCATGTTTTTCATTTGAAAATGATCTAATGGATTCTGTGGAAATTATCTGGGTTTGAATTATGAATTAAGAGTAACTTAATCTACGGTAAAAATAAAATCAGTTTTTAATATGTTCGTGGGTTATGCTAATATTTCGCAACACCGATTTCAATACAATGAATGAGATTACTTTTATCCTCTTCCTCCCTGCCTCTCTAACTTAATTGAGAAGTATTGTTTCGTAATTAAAGCTTTGTTGGTTATGACATCGGTAGAATTAAGAATACATTTAAGCCAATCTGCTATACATCGGTTACAGTAATTAGAACTTATGAACTAAATACTTGTCACTAAACGCAAATCATAATAAAAATTCATTGAAAGTTCCTAAAGTAATGTGACAAAAATGTGTTCACATCAAATCGATACTGATTTCCTTCCTCATAAGTTATTCTTGAAGATCGCACATCCTCGACAAGACCCAATATACGTCTCGAAACAACGGGTTTGGTTAAGCGTAAGCAATCCACGTATATATATATATAATTTCGTGGTAAAATTGTATATCAAACTAGTGCTCACCACCTCGTTTCGTGTTATTGTTGAATATGGTGTTGGAATGTTTCATGGTTAGCGACAAGCAGTATCTGACACATCTCAGTTCTCCTTACTGACCATAATTTTCTGGGGAAATATACAGTTCATTTACTTAACTAACTACTTATAACTCAGAACAAAAGCTATTGGCTACTGGTGAACCTGCTGTAGTTTTATTTTTTTCAAAAATGAAAGGATCTACCTCGGTTTTATTGTTAACTGAAAGATATCTCTCATCATATTCCACTTATGTTCACTCATTTACCGTTTTTCCCTTTGATTTTATTACCTTCCTATCCTTTTTTTCACCCTTCACAATGTCATCTCGACATTTGTATGGAGCATTCTTATCTTGGTATTCAGTTTTATGTGCAAAAATGAATAAATAATAATGACTAACTACATTCCAACATGTTGATTTTACAGAAATTTTAATGAAGGTTTGGATTTTGGTAAGAATGATTTCCAGATGCTGGGTTTTACCTACCGTTAAAATTGATAATAGCTACGACTCCTCAAAGTTGTAATCACCGGTAAAAAGTAGGGCATAAATGTTTTATTTTTCAGCCTTTATTTCTCGAGTACTCATACTCAAATATCATATCATTCGATTTTTCCTAGCATAAATGTGAATTGTTGTTACCTGCGGTGTCTGAAATCTGATACTAATACTCGATGTGCTACGCGCTAGCCCTCTGACTTTTTGAGTGAGAAAGTATATTGGACTAGCAAATAAAATTCATATATATATATATATATATATATATATATATATATATATATATATATATATATATATATATATATATAATATATATATATATATATATATATATATATATATATATATATATATATATATCCACTCCTAAGGAAATTAATCCATTTCTTAGCCATTGAAATGCACTTCAGGTCAATTTTGATTGTCGTCGATTGACCTTCCCGTTAGGCTACTTCTGATTGGCTTACCATATTATAAATGGTTTATACGTATGCTAGTAACCGTCGTAAAAGAATATACTCAGTAAGTTTTTGATAGCTGACTGTTTGTTTTTCTAAATTACTTTCATGTTATTCTGGACTTTTTGCAATTTTTATTTATTCAGGAAATTCAAGCCAAACGTAAACAGGAAACAGAAAAAGCCTTATCGAAACGCATTCGACCAACATTTTCATTTACTGGTATGGCTAGATCCTGATATTATTGATTTTACCAGCAATAACATCTCAGAACGTTGTACAGGAATAATCCTCAAGTGGATTTTGAAATCCTCTTGTTTTTATATAAATATAATCTTATGTGCTTGAATTTTTCACTTTTGAAACCATTTATGGATTTAGAGTTTCCTGCCCGCGGTAATTTTTTAAATTACAATTTACCAAGTGTCATCATACAATTAGGAGCAATTTGACTTCATTTGGTCAGTATATTCGCTCTGTAAATTGTTGCTGCTTACTTTATACTTCCATTATTGCAAATGTGACACTTGATGAGGTTGTATAAATTTTCCATTTGGAACAGTATAGAATAATAATGAGTAACATTTTTTAAGGGGAGAGTTGAAATATAAAAACGCCATTTATCATGTTATAAACATTCGTGAAACGGTGTTCGGAAAGTATGAAACTCTATTAGTCTATTTGGTTGCTAAATTTGGCCATTAGATCTGTACAGTTCTCAGGGGTTGTCACTGTATTCAGTACACTTTCCTTATAGTAAGAGTCAGTCAGTCGTACGCAACGTGGAACCTGGCGCTTGTTTACATCGATTGAAGCTGTTGTGCTCCATTATCACACAGATGAAAATGTCAGGGCGAATCTCAGTAGGATTGTTGAACTCCAAGCTATTGCCTGTTTTAACATGATATTCCAATAATAGTGAAAGCAAAATATAAAACGTTAGATGTAATTAACACGCGATATACTTGTCTAAATTCAAGTTGAATAAAACCATTATTTTGGTTCTCTCTATCTTTATACGCTTCAAGTTATTTAAGAACAAACTAGGTGAGCTGATTAAGTATCATCTCTAATCAACAGTGCGCTTGAGTTCCCTCTTTAATTCTCTTGAGCAATATCTATTTTTTGGATTCCGAGTTAATCCTAGATGTTTTGTAAGTTTAAGTGATGTGACTTCATGCACATCCCTTCCTTCATTACGATTTGCTCAGCCCTTATTTAGATTTGGTGAGACTTCTATTTGATAGTGTTTTTGATGTACTACTGAAATGAAATTTTTGGTAGAAAGTTTATTACTCCATAGGAATCCAATATGTCTGCATTTTTTTACTCTCTTGTTCTCTCTGTTTGTGGTTAGTTGTATTAGTCTATCGTTTATTAATCTTAATCTACCAAACAGTGTTTTGTGGGAATCTAATTAATAATAGTAAAAAAACAAAACGCTGGTACTCATTCGTTTTCGTGTCATGATAATGGTTCAACAAAGGCAAATCAAAACAGACTTCATTCTTATACGTTTAGTCGATACTGGACAAAGGATTGATGCAAATCTAGTTTTTGAAAGTGCCTATCTAATTCCCAAAAATCTACCTTAGGAGTTCACACTAACTCATGTATCCGTAAAATGCTTGTATGCACTCTTCATCCTCGTTGTGTGTCACACAACTTGTCTAAAATTGCACTCAGAAAATAACTATGGTCATATATTTTACGGTTTTCGTCTCTTTAACTCAATTAATTAATGTCAAAAACTAGTATATCAACTAATTATTTCGTTTTTGTTAGCATTACCCAACATTCTACCCTTGAAAATTTTATTGCATTTAACTGGTCTATATAGTTGATCACATGTTTAGTAAAAGACTTAATTATTATGCAGTATCCTAACAACCTGTTTCAATTTATTTTTTAAACAAAGATTTAAGACTTGAATTACTCTGTGTAAATTATTAATGACTATAAATAATTTTAATTAACTTACAATCATCCAATTTGTCTTGTGCTTGCTACCATTGAAGTAACTACTATGAATTCGGTGTTCATCTTGTTGTGCTAATTAAAGTGTGGCAGATTGGACTGAAGCATATATGAGAAATGTATTGTCTAAGTCCGTGAGTTAGTCGAAAGTCATTTCTTCGATTAATTTGCGGTTTATATATTTTTACTACTTAAATAGTATGAACATTAAAATAACTTTTTCCAGTGTTTTGCACGACCAATCATTTTAAACATAGGATTAATTAAAATATACCTTTTCAACACAAGAAATCATATATTGGCTGCACATCTGGTTACCTAACTTTCAGCCAGTACATCTGGGTAATGTTCATTAACGAAGTCCATAATTTGATCTTACTTTTGATAAATCATATTGTTCAGAAAGCAGTTTTACAATTTATGGGTCTTAAACGTGATAAACACTGTCATTAACTATTAAACCTCACCGGCACGGAATTTTTTATAAAATGGTGGATGTTGTGTTTTCGAGACAATGTACTGTAAGTTTTCCTCACTGGATCTATTTAACATTGATGATTATACATTTTCAGAGATATAAATTGGCCATTCAATTCGGCAAAGTAAAGATTTTAGTCTTGAAACTTATTATTGTCCGAAAAGTGAGTAAACCTACTTCTTAGTTTATTCAGTCAGAAACATCTGGAAATGATTACGTTTATTTGGTAAATACTGTATATTAATTTTCAATAAACAATCAAACCATAATCTATTCATTACAAGCAGTTGCCGATGAATTTAGATGGTTGAAATGAAATTACAGTCAGCTACAACGTAGGACCAGGCACATTTCTGCATCGGTCTAAGTTACCATACCTCATTAGCACAAGATAAACACGGATTCCCAGAAGTAGTTAATTCAGTGGTGGTAATATATAAAGAAAATTTGCATACAAGGACATAGTACAGGATGAAAGAAAGACATGAAACGATTTTAATCAAATAGCTTAAGGGAAGATAAGGAGTGTATACACCGACGCCATTGTGATCGAAATTTTCGACTACTTCACTCCCTATCCTTAGTTCAGGTGTTGATGCAGGCCAGTCCTGAAGCAACAACTTGCATTTAGAGGGTGAGAAACGCATTCCAAACACCCTGGCATTGTTGCTCAGTGTTATCAAAAGACTGCATTTTATCAGTGTCTTCACCAAACAGGACTATATCATCTGCGTATTCTAAGTCGATAAGTAGACCTCCTGGTGGGAGATCAATGCCAGAAAATCCTATCGATGAGAGCGTTATTTCCATCAGCAGGTCTATGATGAAGTTAAACAAAAATTGAGAAAGTGGACAACCTTGATGGATATCACTTGAGGTTGCAAAATTAGATGACAGTTCGCCATAAGCTCTGATTCGACTAGTGGTGTTCGAGTAAAGAGACTTTACAAGGTTTATGTACTTCTGAGATACGCCTTTCAATGACAGACACTGCCACAGGATCTCGCGGTCTACGGATTCAAATGATACTTTTAAGTCAAGAAAGACCACCATTCCTGTGTTCTAGAACCTGACGAACAGTGAATATGTTGTCTATTCAGCCACGAACAGGTCTGAAGCCAGCTTGATTTTCTCGTGTTTGCAGTTCACGAGTCTTTATCAGGCGACCGATGGTTATTTAGGCTAGTATTTTAGATGCTATATTAGTCGAACTAATCCCTCTATGGTTATCACAGGACGATTTCGACCCTTTCTAATATATTGTGACCAGTCAGATGAGATCACGTCCAACTCCCAGATCTTAGCTAAAATATTAGTCAACTTAATCGCTAAAACTGGACCAAAATCTTTAAAGACATCTAGATCAGCTGATCTTCCTTGTTTTAGATTAGCTATAGTTTTCTGGGCTTCAGAGAGCTTTGGGTGACGTACTTCAATGTTCCATTTAAGCTGTTTGGGAATGATGGGTATAGACTAGCACTCAATATAAGTTGTGATGTTTGAAAATCGACATAGCACAACTATTAGACATCACAAGTAATGCAGGTCACCCCACGTAGTTTGATCATAATACATGTTTTATTTTTCCAAATAACATCTAAAGATCTTTAATAACCGTCAGTTTGGTTTAACATACGATGTCCATTGCCTAATCGTTGAACCAATGCCAAAGTATTCGAACACAGTTGATCATAATATGTATAAGCAATTTTATTATATTTCAAACCATTATTTTTGCTAATATGTTTAGAATCTTGTAAATGGCAACTGATAGTTAACGATAAGGCATTAATTATTAGAGTTACTTACTTACGCCTGTTACTCCTCATGAAGGAGCATAGGCAGCTCACCAGCATTCTCCATCCAACCCTGTCCTGAGCAATCCTTTCTAGCTCCGTCCAGTTGTAATTCATCGTTTTCATATCTGCTTCTATTATCCGACGCAATGTGTTCTTTGGCCTTCCCCTTATTCGTTTCCCTTCAGGATTCCAAGTTAGGGCTTGCCTCGTGATGCAGTTTGACGATTTGCGTAATGTATGTCCTATCCTATCGTCTTTTCCTAATTTCTTCTTCAGCTGGAAGTTGGTTTGTTCTCTCCCACAGAAGGCTATTGCTGATGGTATCCGGCCAATAGATATTGAGTATCTTGCGAAGACAGCTATTTATAAATACTTGTACCTTCTTGGTGGTGGTTGTTGTAGTTCTCCAAGTTTCAGCTCCATACAGTAGAACTGCCTTGACGTTGGTATTGAAAATTATTAGAGTTACTCATGACAAAACTTAAACGACATACGCTACCTTTTACTATTGATAAAAGTGTTATAAAAAATTGTCCCTCTTATTATGGTGTGTGCTACTTTCATCGACATGAGTGTTATATAACGATAGTCAGGATTAGAATGTCTGGCAGCAGAAGGTCGAGAAAGAAAGAACGGGAACAGAAAGCAATTGGTATGAAAATTCAGGAACAATAAAGTCTGATACGAATAACTGGTGTTTGTAAAAGGAACAGTCAATTTTGAGACAATTGATAGACACTTTGTAAATTAAATATTCATTGTATGGTTCTCAGATTTTAGTAAGATGTTCTGTAATTCTGTGTTCAAACACATTCGATTGTCCCCACATGTGTTCTCGTTCACTACATTATATTTAACTAGCAATTGCGTTTATAATTGTGCATAAGTTGTTATTAATATATACTTGAGTAAATAGAAAGCGTTTGATTAATGGCAAGAATAATTTGATTTAACATTTCATTAGAGGTCTCTGAAAGTTGTCCGATTTGTAGTTCACATCACGAGCTGCTTTAAAATGAACAAGGAATTATGTTGCATAATGATGAACAATTCAAAAGTCAGTCTTTGTATTTTTCTTGTTTAAAGTATATCCCA